AGTTAAATCCCGTTGCGATATGTCAGAGGTAGGTTGTCGGATGTATGAAAGGACTAGTAGGAGTCCGGCTTATTTCGGCGTATCCTACTCGGCATACTCCAGGTATGTATGTATGTATACGGCATATTCACTGGGCAGCTGCACATTCACCGCATATTGAATTTTGAGTCCCCTAGCCGATGCGACGTCGCAAAGTATCAGATGATCGGAAGTCATTAAATATATTGCCAAAATGCCGAGTTTACGGTCTTTTGGAAGAGCAAAGTCACGTCTTACCTACGAGTGCACATGCAGATGCAGAGACTCAGGACCAAACTTGACATCAGTGTAGACATGTATGCTTTTTTACCGGGGCCAAGGATGGCGCCTGTCATCTCAATTCAGATGCGTCATGATCTGAAGCAGCACAGAGGCTATACTTTATTACTCGCTGGAACCCAATATCGTAATCGTTTGAAAAGCATCAGGAATATATCAATTGATGGAACTCTATGAATACTACTCTCTAAGAATTCTAGCAGCAACTGTATTGATAAAAGAAGCTACCTTTCCCGGGATACTGACTGCTGGAAAGTGTCCAGCATCACAACAAAACGTGATAACCTGTCGACCGCTCTTTTTAGATATCATATCGATCACAGATCTCTGAACGCCAGGCGGCACAGAAACATCCTTCTGACAAATTAAATACGCAACAGGGATATTCAAGTATCCTGCATTTTTGAGTGGCCCAGCAAAACTAGCCACTGAATGTGCTGTCATTTGTTTTGCGTATGCCAACGCCTCGGCTTTTGGAAGGTCTGAGAAATTGATGCTCGCGCAGCCTTCCGGCTCAGATATGAGATAGTCTCCCTGTTCATTCGTTAAATCTTTAAATTGTACCCTTGAACTGTTTTCCTTACCTCGGCTGTCATGAAATGGGGCATGTTATCGCCCATCATGGTCTTGACTGATCCGCCAATTTCAGGGACTGGGGAGCTGATATAAACAAGATGAACTATACCTCCCTGCTTTCCAGCGGCTTGTCTCTCCTTCTTTGAAGCCCCAGCCGTACTCTCTGTACCGCATATTCCGCCATAAGAGTGCATCACCAAGATGATCTCATAGCCTTCATCAGCTAGCTTCGTTGTGACTGTTTCGATGTACTCAGCATCTTCCTCCATGGAAGCAGCTGGCAGCGTGTCACGAAATCCAACAGACGGGAGGTCGACGACAGTTGTCTCTAGTGTATATTGTGCAAGGCTTTGAACGAGTCTGGAGTATAGTGATGGTGGGGCAAAAGATGCTGGGACAATAACAATGTGGGGTGTGAGTTTCTGCATTGCGATGAAGTCCGAGGAGTGGTTTTCGTGTTATTCAAAGCACCTTTTCCGGACAACTGCGGCTTTTTAAGTAACCAAGTTCACTTTTAGAGCATTTGAGTCAAAGTTTGAGAGAGATCGCAGAGAAGGAAAAAGGCCGAGTGTTGGGAGATGTGAACCCGAAAAGGCCGACATCATCGGATGCCGGGTTTCGAGTTACACACCAAGCATATCACCGAGAATGAGAACTTTTGCTGTTTTGCGATCCACTCAGTAACATCTTTCAAAGAGTCATCGGATTGGTATTGTTAGGCCCAAAATCAAGTTAGGGAAACGAAAATTGAAGTCTATATAAGGCTCTTTGATTGCACTTCTACGTAGTATAATACAGGACAGAGCAACAATCTAATCATTTCTGCTTAGTAAGAAATTATCATACGATTATCATCATGCCCAAGCACATCGCCATCGTTGGAGCAGGACCATCTGGGCTAAGCCTCGCAGCTCTGTTGCAACATCACTCCATTCCCTTTACCATTTTCGAGCGAGAGAAGTCCACTAGCTCCCGCTTCCAGGGTGGTTCTCTCGACCTTCATCCAGAGTCTGGCCAAGCAGCGCTGTTTGAAGCTGGCCTTGAGGAGCAGTTCAAAAAGTACGCGCGCTATCACGACCAGGACTATCGTTTTGGGGACAAGAAAGCTGTTGCTTGGTTATTCCACAAAGCAACTCCTGATGCAGACGGACGCCCAGAGATAGACCGCGCAAAGCTTCGCAAGATTCTCATTGAGTCGCTCGACCCGGAGAACATCAAGTGGGATCATCGACTCTCTGAGATTGTTCCGCAAGAGGACGGTAGGGTTAAGCTGGTTTTTGAGAACAAGCCTGAACCGGTTGTGACTGACCTTCTTGTGGGGGCTGATGGAACCTGGTCCAAGGTACGGCCGCTTCTGACGAGTTGGACGCCTGAGTACACTGGGCTGACAGTCATCGACTGCCGTATCTCCGATGTGGATAAGAGATTTCCAGAACTTGGAGAGTTCATTGGCCGAGGCACTTCATTCTTCCTCTCTGAAGGCAGTGGCATTTTCATCCAGCGTAATGGAGATGACAGTGTGAGAGTCTATCCCTGTCTTAGAGTCGAAGAGAACTGGCACTCAAAGGATCCCTCATTCGACTGGAATGACGCGAAGAAAATGACAGACTATCTGATCAATACCTTCTTCTCCACCTGGAATACTCGTCTCCAGGATGTCATTCGCAACGTCGACACGAACATGACTCCCCGCGCACAATATCGCATGCCCCTAGGACTCCGCTACGATCATCACCCTGGATTGACTCTGATTGGAGATTCTCTCCATGTGATGTCTTGGTTTGCTGGAGAGGGTGCGAATTTAGCCATGTTGGATGCGCTGGATCTTTTCCATGAAATCAAGGCGCATCCGGATGATCTAGATCTTGCCGTCCGTCGTTACGAGGAAAGGGTGGTTGCCACAGGACGTGCGGATAACACCAACGAAATGTCGCAGGATCTGCTTGTCAAGGCTATGTCGGATGATGCTCCTCGGGCCTATGTTGAGGGAATGGCCAAGGCGATGGATGTTTGGTTCACTGATGGGAAGTTGCTGGACAAGATTGATCGAGAGACTTTGTTCCATAACTAACGGCTACCGAGACATTTATCGCCTAAACCACGGTCATCTAGAGTGAGGATGAAGTATTTTGAATAAAGCATCAAATTTCTTTTATAGCTTAAGCTTCAACTTCTTACCAGCCAAGTCCAAGTTCTCTAAATTAATCTTTTATAAGGTAGACATCTTATAGCTCAAAACAAATGGCAGAATTAAACCCTTCCACACGCCAACGTTGTCTTTAGAGGGTAGGTCACGCATGGTAAGCCAAACCATTGGGACCATACATATCAGTACGAGTACTTCTAATCACACCAGCCTTTCTAGAAAATATGAGATATGATCTATTTCCCCATCCTTGTCCCTAAAGAGCGGCCCTGGGGTTGCACTGCCATAGATGCCCAAGCCAGCACGTCCAAACACTGTCGTTATGCGGATGACCACAGAGCCTATCGACTCTGATATGGTCTGTAAGTTTGGATAACGAGGGCGCAGAACGGATGTCATAGGTAATGAGCTCGCCTTGGCAGCCGTTTAGGAGAATACATAATTGGTCTGAAACCCTTCCGTTCTACAGTGGGCGTTGAAAACTTCTGAGAGACTCCGCCGCAAAGAATAAATGCATAGGTGTCTGAGCACTTATATGTATAAAGCCTAGGCTAAAGGCTAACTAGTTTTTCTGCTTCTGAATCTTGAAGTCCCAGTTGACCTCCCACTTCACATCGACGTCATTGCCCCCGATACTCTTCAGTGTGCCAGAGTTACAAGGCTTGAACTTCAAAAGCAGATCTGATTTGACGGCGTAAACCGAGTCAGAGTCAAGATAAGTGTCGTCCTCGGGGAAGACCTGTGTAATCAGGCGATTGTAAGAGTCTCTGGTCACCATGAAGTGGATATGGCCAGCTCGGTAGGGGTGGCGATCCATGAGTTTGAGAATGTCCCCAGCGGGACCATCATAAGGAACAGGATAAGGGACCGGCTTGATGCAGTAGAAGGCATATTTGCCTTCTGCATCAGAAGTGAACATGCCGCGCATGTTTCCAGATGGCTGGTTGGGGTCCTGTTGGTCATAGAGTCCGTTGACTGCACACTCCCAGACGTTCAGAGCAGCACCTGGGATTTTGTTAGCGACTTTCATGATACGCTAGTGCATCAACCATCAGCTTTACCTTTCACGGGCTGATTAGTATCCGCATCCAAAATTTGACCGTGGAAGTAAGTTACTTCTCCTCCGAGATACTTCTGGATAATTGTATCCCCGTTTTCATAACGAGGAGGATCAGCGACGTAGAAAGGGCCGAGAATGCAAGAGTTGGTTCCATTATCTTGCTCAAGCATTTTCTGTGTTTGAGCATCGACCAGTCTGGCATAACAATTAGACTCAAGAGTAAAGAGTAGAAGACCAGAACATACGCTTCCACGCCGAGACAGTCCGAGATCAACAAGGTCTCGTTCCGCTCAGCATTGCTCATCTGACCAGACCTGTTCAAAGCTTCAATAGCAATATATAGTTCTTCGGTGGTGAGATTGACTTCACGACAAAAAGCATGGAGATAACGGATCAATCCCGTCAAGATCTCTCGAGATCTGGGGGAGCTGTCGGGCCCGAAGGAGGAGATGACAGAGGTTGTCAGAGGATCGTCTTCAGCTGATAACATGTTTGCTTAACTTCAATAAATGTTTGTTAAGAGTTTTGGTATATGAGATAAAAGCACCAATGTTTGACTTGGCTAAGTTAGGGTCTGTCCAAACTTTATATACTTTGTGAGTACCCCAGATGCAAAATCTGGGGCACCTCCTTTACCCCAGCTTCTCCATACTGACTGGAGATTCATGTATCACATAAGCACAAGAATGGTAATCTTGCGGTAAGCAGGGAGAAGCTACACTAATCCTCCAAATTAGTCGGCTGAAAATGCCGAGCCTAGAGATCACCGAGCCCCGAATATGCCGAGCCCGTATCCGACGCTACCTGAGAGAACATAAGATGTTGTACTCGGCAATTTCTGACCTTTCATCTCCCAGAGTAAAACATTCCAGAACCTGAAGATTTCTCATCCCCGCTACAATGAACCGATTACCGACAAATTCGCAACGCGTGGTGAAACCAGGGGTTAAGAAAAGACGCCCCCCATTGGCCTGTGTTCAGTGCTATCAACGGAAGCTGAAGTGCGGCAGAGAGCTTCCAGCTTGTAGTCGTTGTTCAAAGGCCGGAAATGCCGACGAATGTATCTACCGTGGAGACAAAGGGCGACATACGTCGGCTGACGGGCTATCCAACGATGGCACCTCGGGAGCGTCATCCGCTTTGGAGCGTTCGTCAACAGAGACTCTTGACAAACATGGGGCCTCTACTAGCCACGAAGTCGACATGACACACTTGGAAGGGCAGGGGGACTCTACCAAATTCTACGGGAACAGTTATCCCCTGAACCTCTACCAACAGGTATGTTCCCACTTGATCCAACTGGTAACATTCCCTTATTTCAAATAGTTCACCGATCTTCGGCCCTATATCATCAAGGTCAAGGCTCAATATCCATCCATAAACACTCTTCGGGATGAAATTTACGCTCCATTCAACGACAAACATCGGCGTCGCCAGCTTTTACCAGACGGTGCGCTGGAGAATACTTTAAGAGAGCTAATACCGATGAAGTCAATCATGGATGTACTGGTTCAAACATACGTCGACCGATTTGAGATAACCCATCGGATCTTACACATACCGACTTTTATCACCAAGTATAACACTCACTGGACTGATAAGTCTAGCACTCCGGTCTGTTTTCTTGTACAGATGCTTTTAGTCGCCGCTGCTGCTGTAAGCTGTCATCCCGAAGTATGCATCGACGTATTCAGCCACAAGACAAATCATGATCACGTTATCAAATGGGTTGAGGCAGTGGAAGCATGGGTCAGTTCTCACTCCAATCAACCTCCTCGTTCCTGGGACACCCTGGTAACCCATTGTCTTCTTCTTATTGCGAAGCGTGCAAACTTCCTCAAGGAGGGCTCCTTCTGGACTTCTACTGGGACCTTGGTACGATGGGCCATGGCAGCGGGTTACCACCGCGAAGTCATCTCCGCAACGAGAATGTCGCCATTTGATCGAGAGATGCGTCGACGATTGTGGATCACGATTGTTGAATTGGATCTCCAGGCATCGATAGAACGCGGAATGCCTCCTAGTGTCCGAATAGGAGATTTCAACATCAAGCCACCCCTCAATGTCGACGACGAAAGACTCAAGGGGTCTATTAAAGGCTCTTTAGCCGGTACGCCAATTACTAAACTGACAAATACTTCTTTCCAAGCGCGTCTCTATCGCTCATTGCCTGTAAGGCTAAGGATATGCACCTTCATCAACGGGCATTGCGAAAAGGTCGATTTCGACAAGGTCTTAGAACTAGAGGAGGAGCTGGGGCAAGCACTCCGAGGCATTCCGGCATTTGATAATCCCCAAGCTGATCCACGACAGCATCAGACCGCGACATATATAAAGAGCATGCTAGGTATCGTTCTGCACCAGTATATCCTTTTACTGCATTTTCACTTCGTGGTACACAGTCCATCCTCATCTAAAGCTATCATCTGTCGACGTGCAAGATTAGAGGCGTCTATGAAAATTCTTGACTACTACCAACGACTTTTGAACGATGAGGCATTGCCAGGACAGGCATGCAGAACAGGCTTAGTACTCGCAGCCCTGAGCATCTGCCATGAAATCTACCTAAACATTGGATCAAAAGGTAAGAAAAATTGCTCTTCCTCCTGATGAAAGAACGTGTGACAGCTTATATGCATGAAGCTTGCGACCAAACCACCATGACAATCTTCCCTCAAGTTTCAGCATTCCTGATCGAAAATATTGAAAAAGTGTTGAATATTCTTGAAAAGCGAATATCTCTTACATTCAACGGCTTGAACGAATACTACATCCTGAGTATGACAGTTGGTCTTGTCAAATCGAAACTATGGCCAGAGTCTTCCGCAAAATCGGACCAAGAAGCAGCGGAGCGAGTGATTAAACTCTGCACAATTCTGCAGACACGGCAAGCAGCCATTCGACAAGAACAGCCATTTTCTGAAGCTTGGTAAGTAAACTCCCTTAAGATACAATGGATTACCTCGTGCTGATTTGTGTAGTGACGATGGTGAGTCACATGCGAATCAGGTATCAATTGATGCAAGCTATATGGAGTCTGATATCATGACCGATCTCATTAGCTCGATAGTATGCCAGTCCAACTTCCCAGCTTATCTATGACTTCTACTAATCATACGATATAGCTTCCACAGGATTTGGATTTTATTAACGACAGCCTTGATCTTACCTTCTTTCATGCATAGCTCAAATCATTTATTTACGATTTTCAATTCCTCAGCCGCCATTAGAAACGAACTTTTAAAATGGTTCTTGTTCATTTGTCTCAGCTATCAAGAAAAAAGACGCTATATCTGTTACTTCAGTGTCACGACTCGGGACAAGATTGAAGAGCATGAACGCTTCTATTGGTGGAAATTCGGGGATAAACTCAATTCATCAGAAGGATCGGCACTGACTGTTAAATCACGTCTTTTGCTCTCAAATGATCGAATTGCATTACATGGTGGTACCTAAACTCAATGCAGTAGCATGTCCGCTGTCAGATCCTTGACGATGATAGGATCGCGTCTGCTCATCTCGGCACATCTGGCCCCGAGGAGAGAAATTAAAGTATGAGCACATCGGGAATTAATATGGCAATACAAAAATAAAAATGTATATAATCACAGATAATTACCAAACACTCCTAGGCCAGAGTCAGTGGAAATACTCCTCCCTCAAAAATCAACATGCGAAGCCTTCTCCTCTACCCTCTCCTGGCCGCTTCCGCCATGGCCGAAAGACTCCTCTACAGAAATACCTTCAACAGCACCGACGCAATCTCAGATTGGGTAGCCGAAGGTCCTGTCAAAGCCACCGTCTCCAACAACACTCTCGAACTAGCTGCCCCGGGAGACTTTGTCTACTGGGTCCCCGAAGTCTTTCCCGAACGCATCCGCATCACCTGGGAGTTTTCGCCCATCGAAGAACCAGGCTTAGCTATCATATTCTTCGGCGCAGCAGCCGCCAAAGACGGCGGAAGCATTTTCGACAAGGACCTCAAACCCCGAAACGGATCTTACCCGCAGTATCACTCCAGCGATATCCGAACGCTGCATGCTTCGTACTTTCGACGTCGATGGCCTGAGGAGAGGGCTTTCCATCTTGCCAACTTGCGAAAGTCGCCTGGATTTCACCTTGTTGCGCAGGGGGCTGATCCGCTGCCGAATGTGGAGGATACTCAGAGCGCTTATTACAAGGTTGAGGTTATTCACGACAAGCGCGATGTAAAGTTTTCGATTAATGGATTGGAATTATTCTCATGGGAGGATGTGGATCGATCGACTGGACCTGTTGTTCGTGGAGGACGGATTGGCTTCAGACAGATGAATCCGCTTGTTGCTCGATATCGCAACTTGGAGGTATGGAAGCTTTAGAGGCTAGGTTCAAGACTTCTATGATCAGGTATGCAGATACTAGTTACATGACTATCTTAAACTCAATATATGATATTAGACCTCATTAGGTTGAGAATCCTCCCGAGTTCGCCTGTCTAGGCTCACCAGCAGCTTCAAATGTTCCATCAAGCAATCTTCTTAGAGCCTGAGCAGTGCTCTGCCCAGGCGCAACCCAAGTGACGTTGTTTCCAATCTCCTTCAAATAAGCAACCGTAGAATTGTCATAAGCATATTCGAAGGTGACTTGTCGCGGCTCAAGCTGATCATGCAGGCGAGGCGCAGCCAGGGCATCATGAACTGTCATGTTCTTCTCCAGCGCATTCAACACCACCTGGACAGTAGCAGTGATGATTCTACTACCACCAGCAGAGCCTGTCACCAACGAAACCTTTCCGTCAGGTCCTTCGACAATGGTGGTGCTTATACTAGAAAGAGGACGTTTTCCGGGTTTGATGAAGTTGGCCTCGCTGGGGATGAATCCAAAAGCGTTTGACTGGCCGGGGATACTAAAGTCGTTCATCTCGTTGTTCATAATAACGCCAGTCTCGGGAACTATGACTTGTGAACCGAAATTGAGATTGATTGTAGTCGTGAGGGAGATGGCAAGTCCGGAATTATCCATGGTAACAATGTGTGAAGTCCCGGGAGTGTCCAAGCTTTCAAGACCTTTGGGGTCATAATCTTTAACTGCCAGAGCACGCCCATCTAGTTTGGCGCGGATTTCCTGCGCGGTATTGTTTGAGTACATCTCAGATTGATACTCCGCTAGACCTTTGACAAAGGTTGGATCCCCAAGATTGCTTCGCATTCCGTAGCCAAACTTGAATGCTTCGTCAAGCAGATAAGCGCTGTCGTTGACTCTTCTGGGATCACCAAGGAAGTCATAGCCGTCCAGAATGTTCAAAGCAGCTGCGACAACGGCACCACTTGAAGGGGCCGACCCGCTGGTAATCTTTCCACCTCGGTAGTTAATCTGAGAAGGCTCTCGAATCGCCACGGAGTAGTTCTTCAAATCATCCGTCGTCATGATACCCTTCTTCTGCTTCAAAGTCCTTATAGTCGCATCGGCAATGGGTCCCTCGTAGAAAGCACCAGCTCCTTTGGAGGCAATGGTCTCGAGCGTATCGGCATATCTCTTCCTTGTCAGCTTCTCGCCAAATTTGAGGAGTCTTCCAGCTGGTGCAAAGTCAATTGCCCACGCTGGATCGCTGAACAGAAAGCTTTCGTTTTCGGCTTTGCTATAGGTCATCTTCATGAACTTGAGAGTATCGTTGTTGACTGGAAATCCGTAGCGGGCGACGTCAATTGCTGGCTGGACGAGCTTCGACCAGGGTAAATGACCATAGCTCTTGTGTAGGTGTTCCAGACCTCTCAATTCACCTGGTACGCCACTGCAAGGTCGTCAGTCATTGCTATGGCGCTTCAGGGTGTTTCATACCTCGCTTGTCCTCCATAAATACTGGCGTTCACGTTGTTCTTGAACATGTTCTCAGTAGCTGCTGCAGGCGCCGTTTCGCGAAAGTCGACAAATTCGTAGGGCACGGATTCATTCTTGCCATCAGGTTTGTGAATGAGCATGAAGCCGCCGCCTCCGATACCAGAATGGTACATGCCTGCACTTGTCTCAGCGCAACGTGGTCAATAATAGCAAGGTCAACTCACCGACTGTTCCTACGCAAAGAACGGTGGCGACCATGGCATCAGCTGCATTGCCGCCCTCCCGCAGGATATTTATGCCAATCGTACTGCATATTTCACTTTCGCAGGCAACAGCGCCGCGGCTTTTGCTGAATTGCCTGGTCTCTACTGGCTTCATCTGAGGAGGGTACTTCACATCGCATGGATGGCCATGGCCTTGCGAAATTAGGCTCAGCAGAGCAACCCAAGTTGGAAAACGAGCCATTGTCAGCAATTGACTTCAGTGTGTCGACTGAGGTAGCGCTTGGGAGAGGCGCATCGCTTGCTTTTGTAGCTCAAGATCGTCATGACGATCGTCATCACCAAGACGTGCCGTTTACTCCGCTTAGATAATGGTTACTCGAACCAAGGTTACATGCAGAATAGCCTCGATAAGAGGGTGTAGCCCGACATCGTAATCCTGCTGATGTTGAGGGCGGGGTATTAGTCGGCAGTGATAGAGCTAAGCCATTGAAGTAGTGATCAGCAATCTCCGAGAGTTTTTAAACCTTGGTTTTTAGCCAGCTTCCTAATAGAGCTTTTGAGCTGAAAATGAATTAGTCATGGTGCATGAATGATTTCTGGCGGAGAGGAATTTCCGCTGCGGTCGAGCTGCCGTGGACTCTTGGCCTAAATCCATCATGGGTAACAACACCAGCCCTCAGCATAGCAATACATCTCTACCATATCTCAATACAACCTGACACCTCTTTCTTCGTATTGACTCTGTATCGCCTCGCCATTCATGAGCCCGTGGATATAACATTCTCCCACCAACCGACGTCCATTCCGGAGTCGCTTCCCTTTCCTCAACAGAAATGGCACTGCACCGCCGTTGAGGACGCATATCTGATCGCCAGCTTCTGCCAGAAGCGGCGCAAGACCAATCATTCCCTTCTCCGTCTTGGCAATTTGGTATACCGTGTAACAAGAGTATATGGCCTTATAGTACGGAGGACCTATGATTGCAACAAGCTGTTCCTTGGCTTCCTCAGCAGGCGTTGATAATAGCCAACTGCACAAAGCAGGAATTACATGCCAGCTGGAACGTAGTCCGATTCCAAAATCTGGAGAGACAGGACTGAAACCCTTTGTCTTGTTCGCCACGAGCATCCGCCACCATACATCTCTAAGTGACTCACCAGTCACATAGTAATCCGAAGTTTCTTCAAGCTCGGCGATAATATCGTAAGATTGTCGGATTCGGTGTATTAGACCATGTATGGGGCCGTGTTTGACATGATCACCGCCGACCCAGCTCAACTTGTCGACGAATCTCCCTCGAACTGCAAGGCAATCGTCCTTTGGGTCATCACTAACCCATGACACGCACTGAGTATCGCCAGCGGCAGCATATAATCCGTCACTGTGCAGCCCTAAACTTTCATAGTCGATTTCGTCGCCCATGAAGGTAAACTTGGTGGTCCAATCGGGGATCCAGGATGGAAACCGCGAGGATTGAATGTTTAATCGAGCTTGGTATATGAGGTCCATGCACTGCCCCTTGCGTACAAAGGCTTTGCCAAAGCGCCTAACTATCTCGTCAAATGTTGAAGAGTAGTCTGCTCGGAGAATCTCGTCGTCAGTTGCGTTGGACAGGCCGAGGACTGCGAACAGATGATCGCGAGCTCTTGTAGCTTTGCTCCTGTCACATAACGCGAGCAGATCAAGAAGGGGTACATCGACCCGCAGCCTCAGCTTCAGATCCATATTTCTCGCCAGGTTAAACTCCTCTTGCTCCTCAAACACCATTGTGTCCAGGTTTATAGTCAACATTCGCATACTACCAGCATCGGAGCCAGGTAATGTCTCTAGTAGTGCAGATCGCCGGTACTCGCACATCATGTGCATAGCTTCCGTTCCCATGTGCGTTGCTGCGTCGCTGAATGCGTTCGGTATATCTGGAACAACCGAGAAGGAGGATGTCATGTATGCATCGGTCGTAGCGATGTAGAACACAGACCAACTGACTTCCCATTCGCCACAGAACATGTGGATATCCGGTGAGAGGACGAATTCCTGAATTACCCATACACGCCGAAACCAAGGCCTCGCCCAGAGCTTGGCTAGTGCCTTCCAGGCAGGATCTTCTGGGCCGGGAAGTCCACATTCCTCGAATACCATCCTCA